ACAAGCCCAACACAGGGGCAGATTTCTTTTCTTTCTGCATTTTTTTTTCATCCCCATAGAATTAGAAAGGTTACCCACTGATAAGGTGGTTTTGAGGCTTAGTCACTGATGTTGAGTTTCTCGTGACAATGCCTGGGACAAAGTCAGTACTCTGTGAATATTAGCTGTTAGGAAAACTCAAGACTTCTGAAACTCATCTGTATTGGGGAAAGCCTTTTTGGGTTCTGCTCTAAGAAATTGTGATGTTGGCTTCTGAGCCTATCTTACTTTGTCTTGAGCTGACTGAGACACACCTTGGTATTCCTGTTCTCTGCTATAGGAACATGCATTTTTTTAAAAAAAAAAAAGATTTTATTTATTTGAAAGAGTTAGGTAGAAACAAAAAGAGACATCTTCCATTAACTGGTTCTCTCTCCAAATGACTGCAACAGGTGGAGCTGAGCTGATCTGAAGCCAGGAGCCAGGAGCTTTTTCCAGGTTTCCCACATGGGTGCAGAGGTCCAAGGACTTGGGCCATCCTCTACTGCTTTCTCTAGCATATTAGGAGGGAGCAGGATTGGAAGTGGAGCCCATATGGGATGCTGGTGCTGCAGGCTGGGGCTTTAACCCACTGTGCTATAGTGCTGGCCCCAGGAACATGCGTTTTTTTCTCATTTCTAGAAAGTGTACTGGTGTGTGTGTGTGTATGTGTGTGTGTGCGTATAGAATAGGACAGGTTCTGGCTAACATAAGGACAAAGACACTTTACTGGAATGAGAAGGCATAGTTCACGGACTGGAAGGAGAGCTGATATCAGACAGGGCAGCTGAGGCGCAGAGTAGCCCCAGGGATGTGGGTGGCCAGAGTCATCACCCGTCTCTTTGGAGCAGGACAGGTGCAGTAGGTGAGCTCCCACCATTCTTCTTTGTGACGAGCCACTCCAGCCTCCATGGCCTGCCTTCAGGAGAAACAGTTGGGTTCACCTGTGGGCCATGCTAGAGGCTGAGCATTTTGAGTGGCAATTCCCCCCAAATCCGTTCCCCAGGAAGGTGCAGTCAGGACTTGTAAGTATTCGCTGCAACCCTGGTGAGTGCAGTTTGTAAGCTAGCTTCACTATTTCTTGAACAAATATAGATAGCATAAATAAGCAGGGTCTCCTGCACTTGGTCATAAAAAAGAATACTATATAAAACCAAGGAGCGACCAGCATTGTTATGCAGGCAGCTAAGCCACCCGCTGTGTTGCTGGCATCCCTTATCCAGGCACTGGCTCCTTCACTTCCAGTCCAGCTCTCTGCTAATCAACGTGGGAAAGCAGTGGTGGGTGGCCAAAGTACTTGGGCCCCTGCTACCCATGCAGGAGAGACCTGGATGGAGTTCCAGGCTCCTGGCTTTGACCTGCCCAGCCCCAGCTGTTGTAGCTATTAGGGGAGAGAAAAGTGGATGAAAGGTCTCTGAGTCTCTCCTTCTCCCTGTCACTCTGCCTTTCAAATGAAGCTTAAAAAATCATAAAACTGAGAAAATTTGATCTCTAGGCCACACTGTCTCACCACAGCTGTTTGGGTCCTGCTTTCCTTCTTTGCAAGGCAACGATGGAAGTACTAAGTGACTCCTGAGGGTTGTTTAAACAGTGAAATCTCACAGTCCCAGGGCTGTCTTTTTTGTGTGTAAGACCCTCTGTTGCATTTACACACACACAGTCTTCAAGCTCATGTGACCTATGGGAATTTACATGTAAACGAATTTAAACAGTTAATGGAGACTCAGAATTCCTCAGTAATTCTTGTTAGATGTGTATTTACTGAGAAGCTGAAACTCTTTAGGTATTCAAATTTATAGAGTGGTGCAATCATTGTATTAGGGTCAAAATCATTTCAGTGTAAATGGAATTATAAATGGCTTTTCATTTCTACAGTTTTTTTTTTTTGTGACTATGCAGCTATCAAGTATTTCTTATTTACAGAAAGGAGGTTTTGTATTTGTTTTAAGCTGTTGTAGATTCTTTAATAGTTTAGGTATAAACTACTAAAAACATCTTATTGTTGGGTTTTCTATTATGAGTCCTTTACCAACTAAGATGAGCAAAACATAATATGCATTTGTGGTCACTGAAGGGTTAATCTGAGTATCTGCAAACATAGCTACTGTATTATGTTTCATTGTGGTTACTTTGATTTACTTCTCAAGAAGTGTCAACTTGAATTAGGTTACCAATTAAAAACTAATCAAATCTTGCTTTATTACTATGAATGTACAGCTGCTATGTTTCATTTTTAAGTAGTCCTTGTTTTCCTTTAAAGGACTGACGTGATTACCTATGAAAAACAGTAATCAGATCGTCCTTTACAACTGTGCTCACGTATAGATACGTGACGCAGTATGGCTGTGTTTTGAGTAAACAAAGGGTGTGATGTGCAGTCACTTCAGAACGTGCGAGGCTATGTCTCTTACTTGAAACCTTTCTGAGCCCCAGTGCAGGACTGCTGGGCACCCTGCCTGTTTGCACAGACACAACATACTGTCTGCAGCTCCACTCAGATGTAGACGAGATTTCTATGGAAACCTTGAAAATTTTAAAGAAAAACTCAAGAAATTCTGATAGAGCAAATCATTTAATATATAGTTATCATTCAAAAGTCATACTTACAGATTTTATAAAATCGGAGGTGTATACATGACACTATTGAGGTCCTCAGAGTATCCACCAACTCAGCATGTTTCAACCATGGGGCCATTGTGCACCCAGTTAAACCCCTGCTTTTGACACCGGCCTCTCATATTGGAGCACGGGTTTGAGTCCTGGCTGCTCTGCTTCCTAGCCACATCCCTGCTGATGTGCCTTGGAAAGCAGTGGTAGATGGCCCAGGTATTTGCGGCTCTGCCGCCCATGTGGGAGACCTAGCTGGAGTTCCAGGCTCCTCACTCTGGCCCGGCCAGACCTGGCTGTTGCCAACCATTTGCAGGGAGAGTGAACCAGCAGAGGAAGATTTCTCTGTGTCTTTATGTGTCTGTCTGTGTGTGTCTCACCCTACCTTTCAAATAAATAAATAAATCTTTTAAAAAAGAAAGCTTTGGTCCACAACCAGTGTTATAGGGATAGTTGAGTAGGTCTGTATTACTGTAAGAAGGAATCAAAAAGGTGATTCTTAGAAGGAAGAGGAGGCGGTTAAAGGAATCAGCACTTGCTGAGTGCACCGGGCAACGTTCTCATTCCTTCCCGAGTATGAGCTCATTTCCACTCACACATTCCTGTGACTAGCTCTGAGTACTCCTGTTTTCCAGATGAGTGTTCCCATTCTCCAGATGGGGAAACTGAGGCAGGCACACGTTAAATGACTTGTCCAAGGTTATACAGCTCGTAAGAGTCAGAATGGGTTTCAGATGCTGAAAGCCACATTTGTGTGATTTAACCTCATTGAATTTCATTATTGCTGGTAATTTTTTGGCTATTTGCTTACTGGAAACTTCCTATGCATTCAGTAGAAGGAATTCGGCATGTTTATAAGTGCATATGAAAAAAGTAATGGTTAACAATTTTATTTAAAGAATAATTATTACTCATGCCTTAATTTCTTGGTAAGAGATCAGGGTTCTTGCTGTACTACTGCTCCATGGTGATTCACAATATTATCTGTAATATTAACAAATGCTACATCTGTACTGTAATTTCACATCTGCTGGATTTTCACCAAATATGACCATCAAAGGATGCTAATATGTCAGTGAGAGTTGGTCTGATTCTGTAGTTTGAATTTTATAAACTCAACTCGAGATTATAATATCCTACTTAACAAATATTATAGAACTAATTTGATTGTCATCATTTTGTTTTACGTAGAGCATTTATCAAAGTTTCCATAATGTTACACAAACTGCACTATAACCTTAATATAAGTTTACATTGAGAGGGAGGCACATGGACCTAAACCAGAACGAAGCTGTCTCCCAGCACTGTGTGACTTAGTCCACATTACTTGTGTCTCTGGCCTTTGTTTCTTCAAACATTTCATATGTATTTCTGCCTAGGATATTGTAATGACTAAGTGTAGTCATCTAATAATAGTTACACTCTGCTTTGTTGCTACATTCATTGTAGGAAGCAAAAATTTCCCCCAATTTGACTTCCTCTATCCCCAAATAAAATTGTTTGCCTCCTGTTCTCTCTTTTCAGGATTTATATTTATTTATACAGACATACACACACACATATACATACATATGCACAAATAAATATTTACATAGACCACATTTCTATATACATGTGAATAACCTTTATTTATATCGCATATTAAAAAATTCTGAGGTGCAAATTTTTACTAAAAGCTTGTATTGATTTTTTTTTCATTGTGGTAGTGACTTGGATCTGTTGAATGTAAGTTGCAGTTCTTAGTTAGAAGACATAGCCTGATTGGAAAATTGTAAATTATGACCACGTAAAATGTTCCTGTTTCACACAGAAGGCAATTTCTGAAGCCCATAGAGAACTGAATGGATTTTATATGCTGGAAAATTACTGAGTAATCATAATAATTGCAGATTAAATCAAATCAGAAAAAATGTCTACTCTACATCTACAATTTTTTCCTTTGACACTGTAAAGTAAAACTACCCTGAAATAACCTCTGGATAAATATTCATCTTTTGAAATGTCTCCTTGAGGACCTGTGTGGGGTATCAGTGATCTCGTGAGTGTTTCATTTTCCTGTTGGCCAGGTACTGCCGAGTCCCACCCCTTGGTTACTGTGGTACTATGTCCTGGATACTGCAATGTGTTGCTCCCTCTCTTAGCTACACTAAGTTATGGCTCTGGATTTTTCTTTGTTTTTCCCCCTCTCCATCCATCCCCAAAATGCATGCGAGAGACGTTAGGGATTCCGACTTGAGTGGAAGTAACAATCAATGAAGACCGCTTGTGGTGGTCTCCAGAGACTAAGACGTTTGAATCCAGGTGTTTCTCCTGCAGCCATGCAGCCTCCTGTGGTGAATATGACGGACTGCTCTTTTCTCTTATGCCCTTTTAAGCAAAGTAAGGCAGCAGTTCGGCTGAGAGAAGACATGAAAAAGATCGTGGCGGTACCAGCCAGTGCAGCGAGGGATCCTGCCCACCAGCAGGTGTTTGGAGTGAGCCTGCTGGAGCTACGGCAGCGGGGGCTCGCCGAGCACGGCGTCCCTGCCGTGGTGTGGAGCCTGGTGGAGTACTTGACACAGCATGGTAAGCTGGGTCCCCTTGGGCTCTGTGCGTTTTTACAGTTCTTGTGTAAAGGCCGTGTGTGTGTGTGTGTGTGTGTGTGAATTACTTCATAGTGCATGATTGCAGCTGTCTGTAAAGCAGCCTAACTGGAATATCAAAACATTGGTAGTGTGTTTTTTCCCTTAAGAAAGGATATTACTGCTTAATATTTTAAGAAACTACTAATTCTGTTATCTATAGAAAAATTGATTTAAGTATTGAACTTTCTAATTTGAAATGTTGCCTAATTTTTTTTAACTTTTAAAAAAACCTTTTATTCATGTATTTGAAAGTCAGACAAGACAAAGTGTTCTACTGGCCCACTACCCCCAGATGCTCACAAGGGCCAGGCAGGGCTAGGCCCCAGCCTCCCACTTGAGTGACAGAGACCCAGCTGCCTGAACTTGCTGCCCCCTAGTGTCTGCATTAGCGGGTGGCTGGAGTCAGGAGCAAAACCAAGACTCCAACTCCAATGTGGGATGTGGCTGTCCCAACCGTGGCTTAACTGCTGTGCCAAATGTCTGCCCCTACTTCTTAGCTTTAAGTGCTGAAATACGCTTGAGAGAACAGTGTTCCTAACATTAATGGTGGGTTCGCTTGTGTAATTAAATGTCAACCGATAACACCTGAATTGATTCAAAGCCGTTGTGGAGCGGCTCTTTCAACTCATGTCAATCATGACCTTATCAGATGCCCTGCCGTCTTGATACACTTGCTAGCGATACCAGAACCGCATGGTGTATAGCACAGAATGAAGTGAAGACGAGTGTCAGTTTGGGAGCTGTGAAATTCAGCACGTAAAGCATTTGGAGAGCAGTATAGCACATTGCACAATAAAAAGTTACATTATAACCCGCTTGGTTGTGACTATGTAGCCCGCAGCTCTCTGATGGTTTTATTTGCAATAAATAAATAAAAATTTGATTTGACAGAGTTAGACAGTGAGAGAGAGAGACAGAGAGAAAGGTCTTCCTTCCGTTGGTTCACCCCCCCCAAATGGCCACTATGGCTGGAGCTATGCTGATCCGAAACCAGGAGCCAGGTGCTTCATCCTGGTATCCCACGCGGGTGCAAGCCCCCAGGCACTTGGGTCATCCTCCACTGCCTTCCCAGGCCACAGCAGAGAGCTGGACTGGAAGAGGAGCAACCGGGACTAGAACCTGGTGCCCATATGGGATGCCGGTGCCGCAGGCAGAGGATTAACCAAGTGAGCTACGGTGCCGGCCCCTGCAATAAGATTTAAACATGGTTAATCTGAGAGGGTGCTTCCATAGCCCTTAGAGCTATAGTTTTCAAAGTAGGTCAGTGTGTTGGGGGACTTCAGACCGCATAAGAAATATCAAGGCATGGCGTTTGGTGTGATGATTAAGAAGCTGCTTGGGACTCATATGGCAATGTTTGAGTTCCAGTCCCAGCTCTGCTTTCTTCCAGTTTTAGGCAGGTGGCGGCAGGTGATGACTAAAGGATTTGTGTCACTGCCACCCATGTGGGAGGCCTGGATTGAGCTCCTGGCTACTGGCTTTGGCATGGCCCAGCTGTAATTGTTGTGGGCCTTTGTGGGGCAGGTGAACCAGTAGTTGGGAATTTTCTGTCCCTCTATGTATCTACCTTTCAAATAAAATAAATAAATGTTTTAAAAAAGCATAATGGGGGTAGGGCTGCCACCTGCAGTGCCAGCATCCCATGTGGGCTCTCGTTCGAGTCCCAGCCACTCCACTTCTGATTCACCTCTCTGCTTTGGCCTGGGAAAGCAGTAGAGGATGGCCCAAGACCTTGGGCCCCTGCATCCATGTGGGAGACCTGGAAGAAGCTCCTGGCTTTGGATCAGCGCAGCTCCGGCCATTGCAGCCATCTGGGGAGTGAACCAGTGAATGGAGGACCTCTCTCTCTCTCTCTCTGCCTCTTTCTCTCTCTGTGTAACTCTGACTTTCAAGTAAATAAATAAATCTTTATAATAAAAAAAGGCATAATGGGGCCTGCATTGTGGTGCAGCACATTAAGCTGCTGCCTATGATGCCAGCATCCCATGTGGGTACCAGTTCCAGTCCTGGCTGATCACTTCTGGTGCAGCTCCCCACTAATGTGCCTGGGCAATCAGCAAAAGATGGGCCAAGTGCTTCAGGCCCTTCACCCTGTTGGAGACCCAGGTAGAGTTCCTGACTTCAGCCTGGCCCAACCCTGGCCATTTGGGGAGTGAACTGGCAGATGGAAGATCTCTCTCTCTCTCTAACTCTGCCTTTCAAATAAATAAATATTTTTTAAAAATAAGAAGCATAAGTATCAGTAAACTTTAAATGATTTAGGAAGGAAATATTCTGAGCAGTAAGTTTGGAATTTTTATGATTTCTGTACTAAAAGGACAAATGCAGAGTGATTACAGAGGAGAATATAAGACTTGTGGGGTTTTAAATGTGAAGCTTGAGACCTAAGAGAAATCCCGTACCCAGTACAGTACTTGGTACTGTCTGCTCCAGGCCCGGATCCCGCTGGGGTCACAGGTTCCCACCCTCTGCCTGGAAGTGTCCTTTGTTGGTGGGTGAGCCCCACTGGGCCTTTGTTCCTCCAGGGGTCAAATTCCACAGGGCCTGTGAGTGTAAGTCCTGGCCTCACTAGTGTTGGTTAAAAAACCCATCTGCTCAGGTTACCAGGATGTAAATAACAAAGCAATACTTTATTCTAAAAGCTGAAAAGCCAGACTTGTGTTCTTACCTGGTTTTCTCCTTATTTCTGAAAGGGCAGAAACTGCACAAGGGCCAGATTCTTAGAAAACGGCTCTGGGTTTGGTTTGTTCAAGTACTTGAAAACCTCACTTGTTTTTTGAAAGGTGCGAGGTGGGGGGAGATAGAGAAGAGAGAGAATGCACAAGCAAGACTGCAGTGCCTGCAATAGCTAGAGCTGGGCCAAGCCAAAGCTGGGAGCCAGAAACTCCATCTAGGCCTCCCAGGGAGTGGCTCCGTGGAGCCCCCACTCCTGCCTCTCAGGGTCTGCATCATTAGCAAGAAGGAGTCAGGAGTTGGATGCGTATATCCACCCCAGGTACTCCACCTTGGAATATGGGCGTTGTTACCAGCATCTTAGCGGCCAGCCCAAGCAGTTAAACAGAAAAAGGATTCTGTATGGCACAACAGGAAGATGGGACCTTGACCTACAAAGTCTTGGAGCCAGGTGCTGCCTGGTCACAGGTGTGACAGGACTCATTTGCACTTTCTAGGTTGAGTAAAACTGCAACTCTCAGGTACAAGTATCCCCTGAATTTGTCAGTGTAGTTTAGTATTCTTCAGTTGGTTACCTAAGTGTGACTACTGAAAGTGTTTGGTGTTGATGTAATGCATGGTCTTTTTTATTTTTTTAGGACTTATTTATTTGAAAGGCAGAGTTTCATATATACACACACACACACACACACACACACACATATATATATATAGAGAGAGAGAGAGAGAGCGCACAAGCGAGCAAGCTTCCATCTACTGGTTCATTTCCCAGATGGCTACAATGGCCTGTGGCTGGACCAGGCTCAAGCCAGGACCAAGGAGCTTCACCCGGGTTTCCTGTGTGTGTGGCAGGGGCCCATACTTGGGTCATCATCTGCTACTTTACCAGGTGCATTTCTATGGAGCTGGATTGGAAGTGGAGTAGCCAGGACTCAACTAGTATTCCTATGGGATGCTGGCATCACGGGTGGTGATCTAACCAACTGTACCATAATGCCGACCCATATTCCGTGTTCTTTTCTCCAAAGTTGACTGAGCATATCATGCAAAACTATTTATATTTTCACTTTTTAAAGCCATGTATTCAGTCAGTCGCCCAAATATGTGGGTTACACATTTTCAGATTCTACCAACTGCAGATTGAAAATACTTGAAAAAATTGAGTCTTTGCTGACATGAAGACTTTTTTTGGTCACTGTTGCCTGAACAATAGTAGCTCTGTAGCATTTCCACTGTATTAGATAATTGTAATCTAGAAGCTACGAAGCATACATAGGAGAATTTGCAGAGCTGGCATGAAGATGCTCTCCTATGTTATTGAAGGGTTCTTGTGCAGCCCTGGATGTGGCTGTCTTGGGGGAAGGGTTCATATTGCATAAAAAGCTTTACTTATCTTTAACTCTTTCACCTCTTCTACACACTGTTGCACTGTACATGTCCTATCTTTATGCATTGGACTTATTGCAGTCTTGCTGTTTCTAAGCAATGGTTCAGTGGTAAACTTTGAATGTGCGTCATGTCAAGCATGTATGAGTGCGTCTGTCTGTCTCGAACTACTAGAGGTAGGCTGGTGCGTGTGTAGTCAGCTCTGCAGCGGCTGAGCCAGTTTGTGTGCACATCATCATCGTGCGGGAACCTTGGCAAGACAGGCAGTAAGGCTTGGCTTTCTCCACCCTCCCCCATCTGTCCAGCATACTTAGTTACACTCTACTAGGGTATATGCAGGTAATGCTGCCCAAACACTCTAGTAGGCTAACTTGGCCATTCTTCAGTAGGGATGTGAAATAGAATTCCTAATTGAGTGTTGTCAAAATACACCTGCCTTGGCAACACCTGGTCTGAATCACAATCATGACTGGGCAGGCTGGGCTAGGACCTGGCACCTGCATCTTGACTGTGTAGCGAGTTACTATGTACTGAACTGGAAATTCCTTCCTCAGGTTGAAGCTATCATTAATAAACCAAGGAACCCATGTACATTAGAAGGGGGGCATGAAGCTTAAGGACAAGATACTTCACTCCCTGTTATTCTTTAGTAGTGTCTTCGAGTCAGCAAATATTTATTATATACCTGTGATATAGTCCACACTCTGTCAGAAATAGGGATGATTGGTCACATAATTTAATCAGAGGGAGATATTTTGATCTTAAACTGCATTTACAGGAAATAAAAAAATTAACTTTTTTTAAAAAAAGACTGACTTATTTGAAAGTAACAGAGAGAGAGAGAGAGAGAGAGAGAGAGAGAGAGAGAGATATCTTCCATCCCAAATGACTGCAACAGCCAGAGCTGGGCTAGACTGAAGCCAGGACTTTATCTCAGTCTCCCACATAAGTGGGAGAGGTCAAGAGAGACAGGACATCTTTCACTGCAATCCCAGGCACATTTATTAGGGAACTGGATCAGAAGTGGAGCAGCCAGGACTTGGAATGGAGTGTATGTGGGATGCCAGCTCTGTAGACAGCTTAACCTGCTGCCCCACAGTGCCGGCTCCAACTTTAACAACTTGACATGAGAGAAATTTAGCACAGAAGGTCTTTACATAAATGATGTTTTTTAAATTTAAAATTATACAACTTACAATGCATTCCCTCTTTAGATTACTTTATAATTATTCGTCCTTAGCATTAAGATATGGGTTACACCATTTGGACAGTGTAGGATTCTCCATTGACCACCAGGTGGCAGAATGTGCTCATGTTTTGTCTTAGTGCTGGGCCAAATGTGCCATTTGGCAAATGGTGACTTGGGGTGTATTTAGTTTCATACGATTTTTTTTTTAAATTTATTCATTTGATAGTCAGAGTTGCAGAGAGGCAGGGGCAGAGAAAGAGAAAGGTCTTCCATCCTCTGGTTCACTCTACAAATGGCCGCAACAGCTGGAGCTGTGCTGATCCCAAGCCAGGAGCCAGGAGCCAGGAGCTTCTTCCGGGTCTCCATTGTGGGTGCAGAGCCCAAGGACTTGGGCCATCTTCTGCTGCTATCCCAGGCCATAGCAGAGAGCTGGATCAGAAGAGGAGCAGCCAGGACTCGAACCAGCGTCCACATGGGATGCTGGTACTGCAGGCGGCAGCTTTACCTGCCACAGCGCTGGCCCCTATTCATACGATTTTGAAATAAATCTCAGTTGTACCAAAAAGTAGCTATCGGTGGTATAGCTGTGAAGATATACAACTTTTCTGTCATTTCTAAGCCCTCATTAAGTTGTGGTTTCGTGGTGATTAACTGTGTCTTCCAAAATCAAGGATAAGAGGATCTCAGAAATGGAAGAGGGTAGCAATTTCACGAAGCCATTTCATGATCTTCAGAACATGGCTGGTACAGTCATAACTTCCTAAAACTTTAGGGTAGGAAAAGTCAGAGATTATATAGTCTGGTCAGCCTTAGATGGGAAATGGAAATATTATAGAATCACAAGAGACTTTTTAAAACTGGGTGGATTCTGTCTCCCAGGGTGATAGGCCCACATAAGCGTCCCCTGGTTGGAGAACCCTGAGTGTCATGAGCACTGCTTTGGGTGGGGGTGGGGGGGAGTTGTGCTGGTAGTGGCGTGGAGGCAGAAGCGAACGTCCGAGAGGCCCTGACGTCGAGACTTCCAGCCCTGACTTGTCTCTGCCAGTGTGGCCCGCTGGGATCCGCAGCCTGGAGGACCACAGGCTGTTCTTGGAGCGGAGCAGCTATTTTGAAATTGCTGGAAGTGTGTTTATTTGAGGAAAGGTTAAAAAAAGAACACTGTTGGGAGAGAAAGCCTAAGGTCACAGTTAGAAAAACACTGTGTGAGCGACAGACCCAGGCGCATTTGCTGGCCAAACACAGAAGGCAGCGTTAGGCTCAGGGGCTGGGTAAGCACAGGAGCAGGACAGAGAATTCTCGATTCTCAAGACTTGGGCTTGGGCCAGGGCTGGTGTGCTCCCTCTGTGATGCCAGCCTGTGTTTCTGAGTTAAAGGCAAACCTCTGAGGCGGGCTTTGGGCTCAGTGGTCAAGCCACTGCTTGGGACACCCACATCCTGATCCATAACGTTGACTGCCTAGTTCAAGTCCTGGGTGCTCTCTTCCCATTCAGCTTCCTGCTAATGTGCCTCCTGGGAGGCAGCAGATCATGGCTCACGTCCTCGGGTCTCTGCTCCCCACTGGGAGACCCGGATGGAGTTCTTGGCTCCTGGCTGCAGCCTGGCCCAGACCTGGCTCGTAGAGTCATTCGGGGAGTGAACCAGTGGATGGAGGATCTCCCTGTGTCTGTGCCTTTCATATTAAAATAAATATGGCCAGCGCTGTGGCTCACTAGGCTAATCTTCCAACTAGGGGCGCTGGCACACAGGGTTCTAGTCCCGGTCGGGGGCCAGATTCTGTCCCGGTTGCCCCTCTTCCAGGCCAGCTCTCTGCTGTGGCCAGGGAGTGCAGTGGAGGATGGCCCAAGTGCTTGGGCCCTGCACCCCATGGGAGACCAGGAGAAGCACCTGGCTCCTGGCTTCAGATCGGCACAGCACCGGCCATAGTGGCCATTTGGGGAGTGAACCAACAGAAGACCTTTCTCTCTGTCTCTCTCTCTCACTGTCCACTCTGCCTGTCAAAAATAAAATAAATAAAATAAATAAACCTTTGTGGAATAGAGGAAACAGATCATGAAGACTTTAAATGATTAAGCTGAGTGTCACATTGTACCCGATGGTCTATAGGTTTAAGGGAATGGTGTGTATTTGTTGTCCATTGCTGCATAACTAAATTACTCCCTGCCTGGTGCCAAATAGTAGACGAAAATGTCAACTTTATTATTCCATAATTTCTGCGAGTCAGGAATCCGGGCACAGCTTAGCCATTGCTTCTGTCTTTGGGTCTCTTCCAAGGCTGTGTTCGTGGTATCTGCTGAAGGTATAGTCCCATCAGGACGGATGTGGGAGATTCTCTTTCATGAGCATTCATATGGCAGTTGTCAGGGTTCGGTTCCCTGTGGGTGTTGGCCTGAGGCTCTCACTTATTCACTGGTCATTCACCAGAGGCGACCCTCAGTTCCTTCCCTCTGGAACTTTCCATAGGGTCATTGACAATACAAATAGTTGCTTTATCAGAGAGAGAACCAGCAAGATGCATCGCTGCAGTCATTTTAACCTAATCGGAGATGTGACATCCAGTGACATTTGCTGTATTCTGTCGGGAGGAGCCACACACTAGGTGTAGCCCACGCTTGAGTGCAGTGGATTACAGATGGTGCTAAGAGGTGGGGATCAGAGAGTCGATTTTGGAACCTGCCCACCACACGCAATGACTGGTATCTCTTCTGATTAGATGGTGTCCTGGCCATATTGATTGTTAAATGTTTTTAATACCATGCTTGGTATCACGGTTTTTCTTAGAATTGAAGCTAAAAAATCCATGTCAATTGTGATATTGATGTTCTCATGGCCGAATCATGCATACGTAGGGAAGAACACAACTATCTCACCAGGCTGCAGGTTCCAAAGGGTAATGATAGTGTTTGAGTTTTTTTTTCTACTGATTGATACTTAAAATTTGTATTACTTATTTTTATTTCTTTAAATGGGAGAGAGAGGAAGAGATCTTCCATCTGCTAACTCACTACCCAAATGCCTGCAACAGCCAGGGCTGGGCCAGGCTGAAGCCAGGATCTTGGAACTCCATCTGGGTCTCCTTTGTCTGTTGGGAGACCCAAGTGCTTAATCCGAGTACCACTGCCACCCAGGGTACACATTAGCAAGAAGCTGGGTCAGAAGCAGAGCCAAGGCTCAGTCCCAGTCACTCTGATACGGAATACAGATGTCCTGGTGACATTGGGAGGTGATTAGGTCAAGGGGACTCTGCTCTCATGATTGGATTTCATGCCATTATTGTCAGAGCAGGTTGCTATAAAATGGAGAATTTGCCCCCTTCACTCTCTCTCCCTACCTCTTACCTTCTGCATGATAAGGCAACCAAAAGGCCCTGGGAAGACGCTCGCACCTTGGCTGATACTGGACTTCCCAGCCTCCAGAGTTGTGAGCATTTACACTTCTAATCATCATAAATTACCCCTCTCAGATAGCCAGGCCTGAACTGAGCCCTGGCCTCCTGGTCTTGGCCTTGTCCAGCCCTGGCTGTTACAGGCGTTTGGGGGAGTGAGCTGACACATGGAAGATCTCTCTCTCTTTCTGTCTCTTTCTACCTTTCAAATTAATTAACTAATTAAAAAAATTACAACAAGAGTTTTGGAGAAGGCAAACATTCAAAGCAGAGTAGGCCCTGATGCCTGAGCTCATCGGTTTCCCCTGACCTGGGCCCTGGCCCGTCCGTTTTCTCATGCTTCAGCCAAAGGTCACATTTGCCTCCTTGGCGAAGCCTTCTCTGCTGGTCTCCGCTGAGTGACAGCCTTATTAGCTGACTGAGGGAAGGAACTTGTCTTTCACCAGTTCTTTATCTCGTAGAGTCTGGAACTTTGAGTTTGATTACCAAAGAAGTGCAGCAATACGGAAGATTCTTCCATACACATCAGTTTTTAAAACATACAGCAGGTGTACTATTGGACCTAAGACAAGTTTGGGTTTGTGCTGTCTTTGAGTACTTCTATATTTTTTACACTTGTGTATTGCCAGTTTGTGTGGCAATCTTTTTTTTTTAAGATTTATTTATTTATCTAAAAGTCAGAATTATACAGAGAGGAGAGGCAGAGAGAGAGAGAGAGAGGTCTTCCATCCACTGGTTCACTCCCCAGTTGATTGCAATGGCCAGAGCTGCGCCTATCTGAAGCCAGGAGCTTCTTCTGGGTCTCCCACACAAGTGCAGGGGCCCAAGGACTTGGGCCATCCTCTGCTGCTTTCTCAGGCCATAGCAGAGAGCTGGATCAGAAGTGAAGCATTCAGGTCTTGAACTGGTGCCCATATGGGATGCCAGCACTTCAGACCAGGGCGTTAACCCACTGCACCACAGCACTGGCCCTCGTGTGGCAATCATGTATGATCTTTTTTAGTTGATGTGTACCAGGTAGGGAAATGCATCAGTCTAAGGAAACGCTTTTATAAAATATGAAAATCTCCCCAGGATTTGTCATTATAACATTCAGAGACTCCTACTCACTTCTGGGTCTTGTCCTTTACAGTTTCACAGTCGTTTGCTGGAAACCTTGAGCTCTTTTCTGTGTCCCCTCTGCTGTCTCAGGACTCACCCAGGAAGGCCTTTTCAGGGTGAACGGCAACGTGAAGGCGGTGCAGCGGCTCCGGCTGAGGTTCGAGAGCGGCGCGCCCGTGGAGCTGGGGAGAGACGGCGACGTGTGCGTGGCGGCCAGCCTGCTGAAGCTCTTCCTGCGGGAGCTGCCCGAAGGCGTGATCACCTCGGCCGTGCAGCTGCGCCTGCTTCGGCTCTTCCAGGGTCAGCGGGCCGTGTCCTCGTGGGGGTTTGCTTATTTATTGTTAAATATTTTATTTCTCTGAAGGGCAGAGAGACAGAGAATCTTCTATCCGCTGGTTCACTCCCCAAATGGCCACAATGGCCAGGGCTGGGTCGGGCCAACGCCGGGAGACAGGAGCTCCATCTGGATGTCCTGCGTTTGGGCCACTTTCTGCAGCCTTCCCATGTGCGTTAGCAGGGAGCCGGATCAGAGCAGAGTAGCTGGGACTCGAACCAGCCACTCCAGTACAGGATGCCCACATCCCGAGTGTGGCAGCTTAAACCCCTGGGCCACAATACCCACCCCCCGCCCCCGCGCCTCCCCTCCACAAAGTGGTATCTTAAACACTGTGCCAAACAGCTGCCCCCAAAACAATTTTTTCAGTAAAATCTAAGCTTTTAAAAATGTAACCTTTAAATGTTAAAATAAGCTTCGAAATACTCCTGGGCTTTCTGTAACCAGTCCATCTTGTATTTTTTTATAAAGCTAAGGCCTCCCCTCTCCTACCTAAAATGATACTAAACTGATCAGGAAATAGCCTTGGGTGGAAGCTTTGCACACTTTGCTAACATCGTATCCAAAGCCCTGGTGCTGTTGAGTCAATGAGGTTCTTTCCTGACTGCTGTAGAAGGAATGAGAATGAGATGTTAAATGCTCTTTGGAAAATATTAACTAATTAAATTGTAGATGAGTCGTGACCTTTCTTTGAGACTGAAAGCTCACTGGTGTGCTTGCTTTTCATCCCAAGGATGTTGGAATCATAAAGCAATTATGTTGGCTTTGAGGTAAAAGTGATTTTTGGTTGTAGTATGAAACCACTTTAAATACAAGAGGTCCCGGGACCGGCACCGTGGCGCACTAGGTTAATCTTCCACCTGCAGCGCCGGCATCCCATATGGGCGCCGGGTTCTAGTCCTGGTTGCTCCTCTTCCAGTCCAGCTCTCTGCTGTGGCCCAGGAAGGCAGTGGAGGATGGCCCAGGTCCTTGGGCCCTGCACCCACATGGGAGACCAGGAAGAAACTCCTGGCTCTTGGCTTCGGATCGGTGTAGTTCCAGCTGTTGCAGTCATTTGGGGAGTGAACCAACAGAAGGAAGACCTTTCTGTCTCTCCCTCTCGCTGTCTGTAAATCTACCTCTCAAATAATAATAATAATAATTAAAAATAAATACAAGAGGTCCCTTTCTAAGTGTAATAATCGTAGGTATAACCAGTGAGCGATCCCTCCTAGATGTCATAAGGAAAATTATTTACATGTAAGTCATGTCCTTCCTTATCTTTGCCGAGTTAGAGCAGAAAGGGGAAAGGCATCTCTGTGAGTCAGTTACCAGGTTGGCAAGGCTGTGACTTGAGGGAGCTGCAGCCCGTAGCAGCAGCGGTGTGACTGCCCACTGGAGGTGTGCTGATGGCGGGCTAAGGGAGGAGGCCAGACAGGATGAGTAAGAGGGTGCTGGAGATAGGAGGGGTCTTCAGGAAGTTCGTGGAAAATGGAATTAGATAAGCAGCTCATGTGGGTGTAAGAGATGTTGAAGTCACATATACAAGGGGCCTTCAGCATACAATGGAAGCATTATGCATGGGTTTCAGATTATTTTTGCACCGAAATAAGCTTTTAATCTCATGTTTTTGTGGACTTTTTGAAGTGCCATCATGTGTTATCCCATGGAAGACCATTTCCAAATACTAGTTAGAGGTGACTGGTGAGGTTGTGTTGGGAGACTACAGTGATCCCGCCCACCTGGGTGGGAGCACCACCTGTGGCTTCCCAATGGCCTGAGGTGTGTAGCCCGCCTCACCTGGCCCCTCTCACCTCTCGCATTGCCTCACTGCCCCAGGCTTGCAGGGGTGACCTCCAGCTGGTCCTCCCGGGAGAGCAGCTGGGACTGGCATGCACATGTTTACCAAGTTCTCAAGATGAAGGTCACTTCAGATCCAAGCAGAGCCCTGCCTCTTTGTGCTGCCTCCCTAGGCTCCCCCACCTGCTTCTCTGCTCAGACTCCCCGAGTGGAGTTCTGATGCTCCTCACTTGGCTTGGGAACGGCAGGGGAGGCAGTGTGTCTGACAACTCGCCCTTCCATGAAAGCCTCATTCTTGAACCTCTAGGTCTAGGTTTCCACAAATTTACCCTTGAGGTAGGCAATGAGCCAAGGGTTTCCAGACCTGTTTGTGGTTTCACCTGTGGCAGGTTCTGTGTACCTAACCCAACACCTCTTCTCAGGCTGGTGGGCCCGTGACAACCCTGGCATTGATCTTCAGGGGCCTCACCCCAAAAGTGATCGTGTTAGGTTGCTAAGTCTGTTGTAACAAAACAGACTGGTGGTTTCGACCATGGAAGTTCATCTCACAGTTCTGGGGGCTGCACATCCAAGACAAAGATGCAAGCAGGGTTGGTTTCCAGCAAACCTTCTCTCCCTTGGCTTGGGAGGGCGGCCTTCTCACTGGGTGCTCTCCTGGCCTTTGCTTGAAGTGCCACTTTCCTTAAGACCCCTGGCCTACTGCATAAGGGCCTCACCCTTAGGACCGTCTTTAACCTTAATTACCTCTGTAAAGACCTCAGTTGCAAGAGCTTTAAGGTGAATTTAGGGAGGGAACAGAATTCATTCCCTAACAGTGATACACTAGGAAAGGTCCCTGAACTCCTACTCATTTAAGAAAAAAAGTTTGTAATCTTATTTAGTGACTTCATTTTTCAAAAAATGAAAATTATTTTATTTTTTGAAAAAGGCATGATGTAACCAGATAAAATTAACATTTATGTTCTATTGAAAGTAATGATAACATGTGAAAGCCAAACTTGCAGAACAGTTTGTTCTCATCGTCTGTAGAGATCTAAGCTTTCTGTGTCAACAGGTGACACTGATCAGTGACGTATTTGAGACTTGTTAACTGAGAGCTGATCTTTTTCACCTTTACTGTTTCAGTGTTTCAAGGAGATAACCATTGGTCCTCTCATATTTGGAGACTTTAAATCATTCTTACAAGGAATATTTTATTGATGACATGGCAATGTGAGGTTGTGACATAAATCTTTGAAAATCATTTTTAAATATTGCTATAAATGCTAGTTGCCAATTTAAATATTATATGCTTAATACAAAATATTTAGTAACCAAATATCTTCCCCTAAAACATTACTGATTTGAGAGAGTGAGACAGCTCCTGTCCTCTGGTGTGTTCCCCAAATGCCAACAGTAGGGGTGGATGTGGGAGGAGTGGCAAAGCTTGGAGCTGGGAACTCAATCCAGGTTTCCACATGAGTAGCAGGGACTACTTGGGCCATAACTGCTGCCTCATAAGGTCTCCATTAGTAGGAAGCTGGAATCAGGAACCAGACCCTGATTGCTTGGCCAAACATCTGCCCCATCTTTAGTGTTCTTGTTCTTACTAATCTTACAGAACACTATGGAGTATTATTATTCTTAGTACTCAAAAACTTTGTGAATTTCAAAAGCCTTCACACATTTCCTAGAGAGTTTTCATTTGATATGAGAGGCACTGTCTTCTTATTTGTATTACTATTTATATCATCATAGTATTTGTGCTACAATTTAGATCTTCTTTGTAAATTATCCTCTTCATGGCATAGTTCCTCAGTGGTCAAAACAATTGATATGCATCAAAAACACAAGTGTAGGGGGACAATGTTTAGCCAAGTGATTAACATGCTGGTTGAGACACCCAAGTCCTTTATTGGAGTAGGTGGATTCCATGCCCAGCTCCAGCTCCTGATGCCAGCTTCCTGCTAATGTAGATCCTCAGAATCAGTGGGGGTACTCTGGTAATGGAGTCACTGCCACTCACGTGGGAGACCTGGATTAAATTCCAGTGACCCGTCCTAACCCCTGACCTCTGCCCTTGCAGGTATGATCTCTCCCTCTCTCTCTCTCTCTCTCTCTCTCTCTCTCTCTCTCTCATGTGTGTGTGACTCACTGTGCTTTTCAAATGAAATTTTTTAAAGGCAGGTGTCAGGAGAGAAAAGCTTTCTGTCCCCTTTGAAAGGAGGTTCAGAGATTGAGCCTATGATTCAGACTGACAATAGACAGGATGACAAAAGGGAAACCATTGTAATTTACAAGCATGAACACAGGAGTCTCAGAAAATGGGAGATGTGAAGCAGGGCCAGATGTGTTAAGGTTTGATTTCATCCTGAGCTACAGACAGGAGTAGAGGTCAGAGGCTTCTACAGGGTGATGGCGGCACAAGTTATGGGAGGGTAAGGGGAGGAGACACTTGGTGAATAAAGGCTGTCTCCTAGGAAGAAGAAAATCTCTCGGGTGCTAAGTTATCTCAGAAGAGGTAGGGGATGGTCTGTCAGTTGCCTCTGCAGTGATATTTGAAGGAACTCTCTCCAGTCCGAGGAGGGAGCTTCAGAGAAAGCCCCTGCTGCACCTGCTGCTCCCCCCATATGCTCTCAGTTTGGACTAATCATAACAAAGCAGTTTCTTTTGGAAGAGAGTTCCTGAATTCTTTCACAAGCAGTGTCATCCCAAAGCAAGACTAGTTATGCTGTCAGCCCTTAGAGCGCGTGGGATCACACACAGATACACTTTGAGTGGGGCACAGAGATTAAATTTTGCATTATCACTGTGCTTATTCTCTTAGAAGCTCTATGCTTAGATCTGAGATAGTCAATAAAGTAGGCATTAATTGAGCGCTTGTTAATTATGAGTAGAAAGACAGCTAAGGAGAGGGACTCAAGTGTGCCGTAGGTGTCACACAGTATAGCCCTTTATGAAATAAACTCCTCTCTTGGATAATTTAGGTAGGAAATTGGCAAGAAGGGTCACTGCTGAGGTTCTCTTGGAGTGGAGGTACACACAACAGCTGTTCATGCCAGAGCTGGGGAAGGTCAGGTTTTTCACAGAGAGTTGAGTACATTTTGCTTTTAATGCTTATTAAAAATGTTGTCTGGCCAGCTATAGTATTCTCATCTCCCCTCTTCTACTATATAGTAACATATAATCAAAATTGTTTTGTTAAGAT